ATTCGACGTATCGCAGCCGACTTACCCCGCTGTAGGGACAGCGGCAAAATCGACCTCTGCGGCTTCCCGTCGATGGCGCTTACTCCCACCTCCGCTGGTGGAGTAAGAGCGTCGATTCGGGGATTGATTGTCGCGTCCCGATGGGACGCGATAAATCGATCCCCGAGAAGTCGATTTCTACCTGCCGATTCAGGCGGGTAGTGTAGACCTAGCCTTTATCACATGAAAATGATATCCTCCATTTATAAAGTGTCCCCCATCACCATCTTCAAATGCATTCTAAGCCTTTTGCAGCATATAAACACGATTAAGAAACCCAAATATATAGACAAAGAGAAGAGGGAAGGAGAGACTAGAGGTTATACCTAACTTAATCATTCCAACCCCATTTACAATAGCAACTGACTCTCAAAAGAGCCTACAATATCTATTAGTTAATACTTATAAAACACTTAGAATATGCAAAGCACTACATAACTGCCGACTATTATTTTTTCCTACCTCTCAAACAAAAACCAGGTGATGTAATCTAACTGAATATTTTATGGACTTCAACCTTACTCAAAGTGATCAGTTCTCAATAAATCTTGAAAAATTGGTCCAGTCTCTGTAACAATGCTGAAATTGGAGGAGGAGAGGGTTGCATGAGGGGATGTTTGGATATTTCCTTCTTTCAATGATCCAACCAGCAGACCAAATTCAGTGACGAATCCTAGTCATATGCCACCTGAGGCACATTGCGCATACACTAAGAACACCAGTGCAGGGGAAAATGTGACTGATAACTACAGCTGGTTGAAAAATTTTCAAACAGAAATCAATAGATTTCTTTGAAATGTTACAAAAAGCTTTGAAGCATTTCATGTTGATAATATAACAGAAAAGTCTAAATGCAGCACTTCTACAAGGTTGTTCAATAGTTCTAAAATAATTTTGGGGGGAATTTCCATTTTTAAAGAAATTAAAAAATTTCAACTTTTCATTCTGATTTGGGACAAAAAGAAATTGTAAATGCCGGTCTTTCCTGTGGAATAGAAATTCTAAGTTTCAACCAGTCGTACAGATAAAAGTTGTCTGCTGCAGTTCAGTTTCCTAGAGTAGTTGGATTTTAATGGTTTAACCCTGTCCTCAACCTATCTATTCATTCCAGAGTTTACCAGAATGCCTCAGGTACAATTAAATGGGAGAGTTATTGGAGAAAAATCTGTAGGACATCTTGTGTCAGGAGAGACCTGTGTTTTATTATTAACTCACCGACTGACTCACATTATGAACTAGAGTAAATCGCTTAACTGGTTTGTGTTGTAGTTTCCTGTTCTGCAAGATTGATACAAGACCTGCTCATATTTGTGAAGCACTTTGAGCCCGCATGACAAGAGATTCAATACAAGCATAAAGTACTGTTTTGATTTTTAAAAGAATCCTTGATGGCACAGCGACAAAAATGTTTAACAAAAATAGTTCTGGTTATGGAATTTATTAGGAAACAGTGAAGTATCCCACTTGAATAATCATTGTTAGCTGTCCCTCACCATTCAATTTTTTAAAAACTTGTGCTATGGCTTAATTATATTTCATGTTTGAGTAAGTATCACACACATTTTCTACAACGTGGCAATAAACATTGCTACATTCTCTAGTAAGGAGGCAAAATACTTCAAATATTGTGAAAACCAAATAAAACAATACTGCACTATTTTTAAAAAATAAGGAATTATAATACAGTTGTTGTCACCACGGATGTTCTGCAACAATTAAGTTAGCTGTCAATTCCATCCTGTTAATGAGCCAAGCCATCCTTTCTCTTCCTAGTAGAATCACGTCTTAATCACATTTTCTGCAACGGTGTGGAGAACAGTTCTGTCCCATCTACACTAGCAGTTAAATCATGTTCAACGGTGTTTAAGGGTGCCCTTTGCTAACAACTCTTATCAGCAAGAGACAATTTTCTGGTGTAGATAAGGCACTAGAGTCCCATAGCCAGGATTTTTGGTGCTTTGCTTTAGAAAGCAAACACCACAAAGGAATTGGTGATTTGGGTAACCTTCAGTTTCAATAAAGCCCTAGTGTAGTGAAAGTACCCTAGTGAAGTTCTATCAAAGGTTTCAAGTATCAGAGTGGTAGCCGTGTTAGTCTGAATCTGTAAAAAGCAACAGAGTTTGTGTCTGAGCAATTGCCAAATAATTAAGGCACACATGTAGATAAGTACTGAAAAAAAGTTTATTTTGGCTAATGACTATAGACAGTGGTAATTGCTGACATTTATTGTATATCTTCATTTATACCTTATAATTGAAGAACAGAGACCTTAAGTGACTTTAGTCATCAAGCTGAGCACTTAACTAGTCTATATAAACATGCGTTTATCACTGTTACCCTTATTCTTCCTCACCCAATCATTTATTTTGTCACATCCTCTTGTTGTATCTTCTTTGACATCAGATTGCTAGCTCTTTTGGAGAAGAACTGTCTTCCTCTATGTCTGTACAGAGCCAGTACAATAGAGCCCCAAACCTGATTAGGTTCCACACTGCTACTATAATACAAATAATTATATATTAGTTTAATATTGGCATTCTTTGTTAACATTACTTACTGTATTTATTGTAGCTATCCTTTGTTTTGGGTTATTAATCCTAACATAAATAAAGCTCCTCTCTTTTGTTATGCTTTTGGAGGGCTGTTTGTAAACAAAGGGTACAGAAAAGGAATAAATAGCTTACACTTCTTTGGCCAACTCTTGAGAGTCCACTCTGTCCTGAAAACTAATGAATTGAGTGGCCGGGGCAGTGTAGAGAGAAAATTTTCCCAAACCAACAGATACAGATAGTGTACAGTACCTATAGAAGACTATCATGACAAACACTATTTGGCACAGAAGATAATTAAGTAACTCTAGTAATTAAGTGGCTCTGTGGCATTTCAGCAGTACCCACACATTTTCAATGTTAATGTGACATAAGGAACCTCCAAAACATACATAAATGAAGGTTGTAATTCCACCTTGGAGTTCCAGTGATATTGACAAGGTAGTAGAGCTGCACTCTTGTGGCTTATGTCGTCACCAGAACCCATTAATGGAATTACAGTCTCATTATGTACCGTTGGGGGTACATTATTCCTCAAACAGTCCCTAAATACTGTTACATGATTGACTGCAACATTTCTTCTACCAAAGTCAACGCTTGTGCACTTTTAGGAGGAATTCTGTTAATCTCTCTGATTTTTTATGCTCCGAGTTGGGGGATGGGGTGGAGGGAGAGAAGAGAACTACAAAACAATAACATTACCCATGAAATTTAAAATGAATAATCAAATACATTTGAATAGTTAGCTACAGAGCCAATAAAGTCTGTCGTTCTCATCAGGAATATCACTAGATTTAAGCCTATTCCTTACTTATTCACCCTCCGCTCCAAAATACAAAACTATATTTGCAGTAATCTTGACAAGTTAACGTAATCTTAATGTTCCCAAGGAATATATGCCAAAATATGGTACAGTTTGAAGGTTTTTACATTCCTTTGACTGATAGAGTTTTGCATTGCTAGCTATAGTATCTTTTTATTTCCAAAATAACAGGAATGCTGGAACACATTCATCCTGACAAAGTATAAATAAACTTCCTACCGCTCAATAAATGGATGTTTGAAAAAGAACAGGAAAAAATAAAATTGCCTGGAATACAATACCTATCTCATAAATGCTTTACATATCATAGTATTGAAGCTGAAGAGAGAAAAGGCAGCATTCACATAAAGCATTTCTTAAAAATGCCTGCCCAGCACCTTAAAAAGAAACAAGAATTTTACACCCCCAATGTGTCATGAGATAATATAACCCACCCACCCATCGAGAAGCAGGTGCATGCTACATATTCCCCTTGCAAGTTTCTTTTAAACACCCTCTCCGTTTTGCATAACAACATTTTTAAAACATGTTCACTATGCACACAGCAAAACACAGCCCTTCAAAGAAGCAAACAAAGCAACAAAAATCGCACCTCTACATACCAAGTATCACCCTGTTTATACACCCCGTGTTTTGCGGAATCTGCTCCTAATCCAAAACCGCGCTATGTCCCGTAGCATAAAACACTTTGTCTGTCACTTCCCACCCCTAATTATTCAAAGCCCATTCATCTGAATGTTTTTGATGTCCCCAGAACATTGTGGATAAAAACAAGGTTGCACTGTACATATTAAAAACTTTAGTTCTTTGCCCCCTCACCAAATGCTTTGACAGGACTAAGGACCTTTCAGGCTGGATTCCAAATCAAATATTAAGCGGGTGGTTTGAAATGTATTACAAATTGGAAGAGGCCTAAAGGGAAAGGGTGTAAAAAGCTGCTTTCTCCACACTAGCCTCCCCCTTCCCCTTTCCTGGTGGCTTCTTACTGAGACAATCAGAGCAGCAGCAGAGAAAGGCTGTAAATTAGAGACACAGGGTGGATGGCTAAAAAGCCCTCTGATGCCTGAAGAAAGGGAAATATACAAAATAAATAGAGAGAGAGAGAGAGAGAGAGAGAGAAAATGAAAAGAATAGGGAGCTAGAATCACCTCCAAGGGATGGCAGGGGAGAAAAGAAAGGACCCAAGCCCCCTCTGACCCTTTTCCTTCCCTTCCTAAATATAATCCTCCGCTTCCCACCATACACATAGCACAAAATGACCATTAATTCAAGTCCATCCTCGAAAGAGACGAGGGGGGGATTATCTCTGCCTGTGCCTGTCTGATTCTCTCTCTCTCTCTCTCCTTCTGGGCGAGCACCACGACTGCATTAAAAATAGAGCGAGAATTGTGATTCTTTCTGGTGGGTGCCAAATGTGGACGCGGGGAGAAGGAGCCTGCCTGGGTGGGAGGGGAAGGGGAGAAGAAAGGGAAGGAGGAGAAGGGGAGCCGGAGAGGAGAAGGAAGGAGGGAGGAAGGATGAGGGGAAGGGAGCAGGGCTAAGGGGGAAGGAGCCCGGGGATGGAGGGATGGGGGAAGGAAAGGGAGGATGCTTTGCCCTGGCCTCACCTCAGCTCGGTGGGTGGGGACGGGCGAGCCCCTCGCCTCCTGCTCCTCCCCAGCAGCCGCGATGGTCACTAACGGGCCGGGGGTGCGGTGCGGCTCCCCTCACCCAGCGCCGGGTCCCCGCCTCCTGCTCTCGCCCCGTCCCCGCCTCCTGCTGCCCGAGCCGCGCTCGCTGGGCTCTGAGGGAGCCGGGAGCCGCCGCCGCTAGGGGAGGAGGGAGCGCGCCTGCGCCACCGCCCGGGCGGCGAGACGGGAGGAGGCAGCGGGGCCGCCGGCGGCTCCAGTGCCCGGGGAGGGGGAGTCCGGTCCCGGCCCGGCTACCTGAGAGCGGCGCGGGGCTCGGGCGGCCTCAGTGCGCAGGTGCGGTGAGTATGGAAACCGCGTTACCAAGGGGCCCCGCAACAGAGCGGCGGGGGAACGGGGCCGAGGGGGCAGCCTTGGGCGGGCAGGAGCTGGGCCAGGGGGGCAGGGCCGGTTGCTGGGCACGGGGGTCACAGCGCAGAGCCGGCTCCTGGGCACGGGGGTCACAGCGCAGGGCAGAGCCGGCTGCTGGGCACAGGGCAGAGCCAGCAGCTGGGCACAGGGGCAGAGCTGGGCCGACTGCTGGGAATGGGGTA